GAACAAAATCAATAATCTAGAGAAACACTCCTTTATTGCAGTGCGTGCATTAACATACAACCGCACAATAGGCTTTGTAAGATGAAACCACTGTATTTAAGTTCGGTATATGTTAGTTGGTTGGAGGGAATCGACAGGAGGCCCTGGACCTAGGTTTCGTGCTTGTTGGTGCTCGTCAGCAACTTCAACGTAACTGATGTTCCACCCGCCTCACCCAATGTTGTTGTCAACGACTTTACCACTGAGCTATTCGAGCCGGTGGAGATAGAGACTGAATAGTGAATCTTTGTTCATCGAATCAACACCCAATACATGTAATAGAAATGACGCAACATCTATACCAGAGTTATGGGAAATCCTACTCCCAATAAACATTATAAAAATCAGATGTCGAAAGTTGTGTGATTATGAACAATAATTTAGGCTGGAAAAATCATCAAATAAATGATATTTCAAGCCTACGTGCCATATCAAATAAACAAATCTAAAATGGAATTAAATTCCGCTGCAGTAAATGTAGAGAAGATGGAGGTAATGAAGGTACCCAACCAACAACAGCATCAACAACAAGCACCAATCACCATTAACGGGAGAAATCTAAAGGAAGTTGTCTCTTTCATCTACCTACCTAGACAGGGCAGCATCGTTTCAACTACAGGCGGCACAGGCACAGATGAGGATGCCAAAGCCAGGATCGGAAAAGGAAGACAGCCTTTCACCAGTCTGAAATCAGTGTGGAGATAGATCCACTGCACTCAGCATATGAAACAAGATCCAGATTTTCAACACTAATGTTAGTTGAGTCAGTGCTGCTATGTGGTTGAGAGACTTGACGTGTCACGCAAAGCACTTCCAGCAAACTACAGACTTTCATCAACAGCTGCCTACGCTCACTCGATACTGAAGATGAGATGGCCAGAAAGAATGAGCACGAGGGAACTGTAGGTGGCTGGCAACGAACCAATGAAGAACCTATCGCCCAGAAAATATGTAGAGTAAAGTGTAGATGGATTGAGCATACACTGAGAAGGCCAATTGGGGACATCATATGCTAGACTAGGCCGTCGAGTGGAATCCAAAGGGGAAACGACGATCTGGGTGTCGGAGGTGAGGGTGACATGGAGAGGATCATGTGAGGAAGAAATGAGAGGTTGTGGTCAGTCGTGTAGCCACATGAAGAAGACTGTAGTGAAGAGAGTGAACTGGAGACCTGGTATTGAATCCGTATGTTCCACTGGGAACGAACCCAAGGGGAAAATTAATATAATATGCAGTGCCCAAGTTTTACGCTTGTTATTATGAAGTCTGACCATTTTATGATTGATCACTTTTTCTTTACTACTCATTTCATTTTGCTTCCTTTTTCCATTTCATCCTTCATCTTGTCTTCTTGACTCTTGAAGATTGAGATTACTTGAAGTAGTCTGCTATGGTATCATAGTCCACTTGGTTTCAATCGCATAGTCTTCTTTCTGCATCACTTAATGACCTATTCATTTGAAATTATCCATCACTTTGACTGTATTTTATTCCACTGCATATTAATGGAGGACATAAGCAGTATCGTCAGTTCAATATTTCTTCATTTATTAGTCGAGTTCATTCGACAAATGAAAACTTCTTGATTAATATCTGCAAGATAACCAAAATTGACGTTTACAAGTATCGAAAATCATCAATTGATATCTGTTTCCCAACAGAAGGGTATCGTTTGCCTGGTGGATAACGCTTTGGAGTTTGAAGCGATGGGTTCCAGGTTCGAGTCTCGGCGTGAACAACACTACTCACTGGGGTGAAGGTACATCCAACCAACAAGTCCCAAATAGGACATAATACGCACCCTGGATTCCGCTACTAGTCACCAAGATGAATATGACATCATGATTACGCGACAGTATCTTGGCATCCTCACTGGAACCCATCTACCATCAGATGTTGAGTAATTCAATCTTATATATCAACGGGAAATTACAAGCATGAAAACGATGACATTTAAGTATTGATAAAGAGATGCAATCATTTCTTATTTCTTGATAAATCTTAAAGATGTTAGTATTCTCTGCATATTATTCATTTACTCCCTTTGTTTTCTGTTCTTATAGTATTGTTTTCTACTGATTATTTCATCTTCATTTCTCTATCCTTCCTCTTTTTTTCCACTTAACTTTCTCTCCTAATACTGAAATAAAGTTGTAGCGAAGTAGACCAGTGCACAATTATTATCAGATTGCATCTAAATGCAAATTGTTGCTCCAGGATTGGTCTTCAACGGTGCCACGGCTAATAATAGAGAGTGTAGCGACTGAGTGTGTCGACCACTTCACTTACCTGGGAAGTAGGATCAGCCCTGGTGACTAGCTCAGTGGCCGATGAAATCTCTGCACAAACACAAAAGCCTCGATTAGCTTTTGCCAACTGACACCACCTATGGCGCCACCATGATATCCGTTTGTCTATTAAGGGTCGCGTGTACTGCACAGCAGTTCGCTCTGTTCTACTGTATGGCTGTGAAACATGGCGATTCAAGGTGGAAGACATGAGAAGGCTGGCTTCAGGTGTTTGACCACCGTTGCCTTCGTAGTATAGGCCGTATTCCTTGGTGTCACCATGTGAGTAATGCAGAAGTTAGGTGTAGAGTTTTAGGGAGAAGAGGTAAATCAGTTGACACGGTTGTGAACCTTCATCGATTGAGATAGTTGGGACACGTAGTACGTATGTCTAGTCACCGATTGCCTCGTCACACAATGTTGGCCGAAGTAGGCGCAGTCTGGAAAAAGGCCTGACTGAGGTGGCCAGACTAAAACATGGTACCAATGGATGAAGTCTCTGACTGTTGGTTTGAGCTATATGGGGCGATGCAGACTAGATGGTTGGGGTCGGCGGGACAAGAGGAACTAGTGGCTGCAGACTCTGGGGGATATGGCTCAGAACTGATGTCAGTGGTGCAGATGTATACACACATTATCCTCATCTTAACACTATACCGATTCTCATCGTTTTGTCATTCTTCCTTCCTCTCCTTGAGTACTTAATATTTCTTTTGACTGAATTTTCTTATCTTCATCTTTCACCTCACTACCTTTGTAGTCGATGTACTGATATGAGGTGTGGCAACTCAGACCGTTACGCAGTAGTGCCTGATCCTATGTTGATATTAATGATGATAGTGGGATTGCACATTGTTGTTATTCGTCTGACGTTTTGTAAATATCTAAATATAATAAAAAAGGGATACAAAATAAGGAAGGAAGAGTCAAAGACGTTATATTCTGTAGCTATTTAGGGTGAATTCAATATTGTAAAGATGGATAGTGGCTAGCAGTGGAATCCAGGATGCGCATTTCGTCCTATTTGGGACTCGTCAACTGCATATACCTGCCTCCCAGTGAGTGTTGTGCTCACCGGAATTGGAGACCGATCAATTGGGTCCAATCAGCGACGGTATAATACAGGCAGTTATATTGAATTCAATATTATTTATTTAGGGCTACCAGTTGAGTTTAGCGCCTGCACTTCATTTTGTTTCTGCCATATTCATTGCTTTCACCCGTTTTTTATTTTCGAGTGCTGGTTGTGAACGCAGAATACTAGGATGTTATAGCAATTGGTTAGAGGTAATCAGTAGGAAGTTTTGAACCTTGACTTCATGCTAATTGACTCTCATCAGCAGGGAGCTGATTTCTTCTATGGGATTTGAGCCCGCACCAATTCGTACTTCATTTAGAAACCTGATTCATGTCACGATTGACCTCTTTTTCAGGGCTTCTTGCCGATTTCCCTAACCAACTGTAACATCAATCAAAGTTTACACTGGTACTGAATCTCTTAGCTTGATGGTCACATTGCAAAGATGATCCATAGGATTCAGTCAGGATTCGGGGCTAGACAACAGGGAAATGATTGCCCTCCAATGCCTATTCAGTGTACCAGAATGATAATATTATCACTTTTTTCAACATGAATATGTAGAGGTTGATATTTTTCAGGATTGAATTGATCTGTTTGGGTTGGTTTTTAGATTCACTATACGTATAACTGTATAATTTACACTTCTTGTGTGTTGTAGACTCTTTTGCCAATTGCAACATCATTTATTACAGCTAGATGATTGTTACTTTCAATGGTCATTACTTTTTTGTATGTAACATCAAACAGTTTTGAGGTGAGATTAGTATTTGTAGCGGTGGAGCGAAATTCATTCATTTAGGTTGCTCATAAAGTTAACTAGTTACAAAGTTTACACGATGTTACCGAGAAGACTCCAACTAGGCAGCCTACATAACTTGGGAAAATATTCAAATACTTTATGAGTTGGTCCCACTTCTTGTTTTAATCATACTTAGCGTTTTTCCTATCCAATACTACTTCAGTTAACTTGACTCGTTGAGATAAGTAGTGGCAACATATGTCACTTAACCATCCAAGTTAGGGAAGGTCCTCAACCTTTTCGACCGACTTACCTTCATTATCTAGTACTCTATGCCTGACCTCAACATTCCTAATATACTGGTTCCATCACACTCAAGGGATACAAGAAAACACCTGCAGTCAAAAACCTGCAGCTTCCTTATGTCTTCTACTTTCAGCAGTCATTTCTCACAAACTTCTGGTAGAAGAGAGCGAAACTGATGCTCAGTATATGCTCTCTTTGGTAAGTAGTTGGAAATGTGACGAGCATCAAAGACTACTTCATTTGAAAACTTACTTACAATTATTATGTCATCGTGCTGAAACTTCCTCAGAGTTGATGCAAATTTCCAATTCAGTGTAGTTGTCAATTGATTTATACAAAGTTCCACATTGGTTTAACGTAAATTAGAATACTTCTAAGGAGTTCCAAAACTTGAACGAAGCAACTGTCCAATACCCTCATATTTTCGTTTTCTGTTCGTTTGTGTATATGTGGTTATCAACTACCCTTTTGAAATGAAATCATCCATTTTCGTTGTTCGACCCCTCCCCCGTGTCAGCATATACCTTTTTCTTGTTTCATTTTATAGACAAATTTCATTATACTATGGGAATGGTGATGTGTGTAAAGAAACTGGAAAACCTCGAGAAACTATTGTAAAATTGAAGTAAGTCGTCACATTTTGAATAGATATCCTGTATCATTCTTGTTTAGGATTTATGTACTTCTTCTTTATCGTTGTACAAATCGGTTTCAGTGCTTAAGTGTCTATAAACAGCTTAGTCGATCATTAAGACTGCATAACTGACTATTCTTTTAGTCTTTATACTCTCACATATACAAACGTTATCTACCCTCTTACACATCAGAATTGCTCAGTCGAATAGTGCAATATCTCAGACAATCATCATCATCATTATCAACATAGGACCAGGCATTACTGCGTAACGGTCCGAGTTGCCACACCTCATATCAGCACATCAAGTAAAAAGGTAGTGAGGTGAAGGATGAAGATAAGTGAATGCAGTCAAAAGAAATATAAAGTACGAGAAGAAAGGAAAGAGGAGTGACAAAATAGTGAGATTCGGTATAGCGTTGTTAAGATGAGGATAATGTGTGTATACATCTGCGCCACTGACTTCGGTTCTGAGCCATATCACCTAGGGTCTCCAACCACTGGTTCCTCTTGTCCCGTGGACCCCAACCACCTAGTCTGCATCGTCCTACATGGCTTAAACCAACAGTCAGAGACTTCATACATTGGTGCCATGTTTTAGTCTGGCCACCTCGGGCCTTTTTCCAGCCTGAACCCACCTCAGCCAACATTGTGTGACGAGGCAATCGGTGACTAGGCATACGTAGTACGTGTCCCAACCATCTCAGTCGATGAAGGTTCACAACCTCGTCGACTGACTTACCTCTTCTCCCTAAAACTCTACACCTAACTTCTGCATTACTCACATGGTGACACCACGGAATACGTCCTATACTACGAAGGCAACGGTGGTCAAATACCTGTAACCTTCTCATGTCTTCCACTTTCAATGGCCATGTTTCACAGCCATACAGTAGAACAGAGCGGACTGCTGTGCAGTACACGCGACCCTTAATAGACAAACGAATATCACGGCGGCGCCATAGGTGGCGCAAATTGGCAAAAGCCAATCGAGCCTTTTGTATCCGTGCAGAAATCTCATCGGCAACTAACCCACCGGGTTGATCCTACTTCCCAGGTAAGTGAAGTGGTCAACACACTCAACCACTTCACTCTCTATTGTTAACCGCGGTACCGCTGAAGACCAGTCCTGGAGCAAAAATTTGCATTTGGGTGGTGAAAATCGCATCCCAAACATTCTCAAATTCCCACTCAAAGTGTTCAGAAGACTCTGCATCTTGTCAGCGTCTTCACCTAACAGGACTATGTCATCTGCATATTCTAGATCTAAGGAAAATTCACCTGTGATCCGGTCAACGTCTTTGTAATTAGGTGACGAGAGGGAAACCTCCATAAGAATATCTATGATAAAATTAAATAAGAATGGGGATAGTGGGCATCCTTGACGGACACCACTTGATGAGTATAGCTCCCTGGACAACTCACCATAGGCTCTAACATGCCCACAAGTGTTCGAGTAGAGAGCTTTCAATAAGGTGATGTACTTACTAGGCACGCCTTTCAGTGACAGACACTGCCATAAGACTTCTCGATCAACGGAGTCAAATGCCGCCTTCAGGTCGAGAAATACAGCTATTGTCGGGCGTCTGTAAGCATGCCTATGTTCCAGGACCTGGCGCAGTGTGAATATTTGGTCGATACATCCACGGCCAGGTCTAAAGCCTGCCTGGTTTTCTCGGGCTTGCTGTTCCCGAGCTCCACTCAGGCGTCGGAGAATTATAGAACTTAGGATCTTAGACACTATGTTTGTCAGGCTGATTCCTCTGTGGTTATCACAAGAGGACTTCTCGCCTTTCTTGAAGACTGGGATGATGAGTGACTTAGACCAGTCGGAGGGGATCGTATTTGATTCCCATATACTGGCTAACACTTCCGTTAGCCTGACTAAGAGAACTCTACCACCATTCTTGTATACCTCAGCAGGTAGTCCGTCTGGTCCTGCTGCCCTTCCCCGTTTCAGGCTACCTACCGCTTTCTCAACTTCTTCTAGTGTTGGGGGACCTGTCTCTATGTCCCATTCAGGGTCCGACTGGATAGCGGGCAGCGCAATGGTGGCTGGAGGCCAGTTAAACTGTTCCTCAAAGTGTTCTGCCCATCGTCCCAGTCGCCTTCCCTGCGAGTGAATCGCCGATCCGTCCTTCTCCGCTATAACCTCACTAACTGTTGTTGACCATTTCCCCCCAGTCTCCTTAATAAGTCTAAATAACTGTCTACTGTTACCGATCGCCGCTGCCTTTTCCATCTCTTTAGCCTTTGCTGCCCACCACTGTTCACGATCGTTGCGCAGACTTTTCGTCAGTTTATTTTTAAGTTGCGCTCGCTCTTCATTGTACTCAGAGCCTGCAGGGATGCATTCACGTGCATCCATTAGTTTGGAAGAAGCTGCTGATATCCACTGGCTCTTTTTAGCCATTATCTTGGAGTCGGCTACAGTCTCCAGTGCTGCTTTTACAGTAGACTGAAGATGGCACCAAGCTTCTTCTGGATGAGTGACAGTCTTTTGTTCCGATAACTGCCTAGCCAACTTCTCACTGAACACGGCTTTGGTGTTTTCGTTGTCCAGCAGAACTCGTAGTGGTTTTGTTGCCAAATTTTTTCTACGTCCATTGAGACGCAGGCATATACGTGCTCGGACCAACGCATGATCGCTGTCCAAACACGTACTCCAGAAGGAGCGGCAGTCTTCCACCGATCCTCTCCAGCGATGACTAATAGCAATGTGGTCTATCTGTGTCCATCGCTGAGTCGAGCTCGGTGGACGCCAGGTCAGACAGTGCCTTTCTTTATGTCTGAAATTTGTGCTGGCTAAAAATAGGCGGTTATCTGAGCATAGTTGTAATAGGCGATCACCGTTATCTGTACGTTCAGCTGGGATTCCGAAAGTGCCACCTAAGTGCCTTTCTGCCTCACTCAGTCTACCCACCTGTGCGTTGAGGTCACCTGCAACAACCACTACGTCCGAACGTTTGGCTTTCGAGAGGAGGTTAGACAGTTTATGGTAGAACTCGTCCTTCACTTCATCCGAACTACAGTCAGTGGGTGCGTAAGCAGAGATTACAAAGAGACAACGGCGAGTCTCACTATTCCTTTTAGTTCTCACTGTGCCGTTCAGCCTCATAGCGCAGAGGCGACTATCAACTGGGATCCAGTCTAGTAGTGAGTTTTCTGCCCTGGTGCTTAATGCTATACCTACACCTGCAAGACCACGAGAGCTAGCTATCGAATCTCCAGAAACTCGAAGGGTGAATTTTGCAGATTCACCAGATTGGTCAGGAGAGGTCAGGTGAATAACCACACTTGGGTCCTGTATGCGTGTCTCACAAACACAGCACACATCCATGCCTCGAGTTGCTAGAGTCTTTGCCAACGAAGCCTGTTGGCCAATTTGACGGAGGGTGCGGACATTGAAGGCTCCAATATGTAATTTGGAGCGTGGTTTAAGGAGACCAGGGACGCTGTTCTGTGGACTCAGATCGTTGTCGAAGGCTGCAGAGGTAGGAGAAATTGAAGATGATGCAGCATCATTAATTAAGAGACGTGAAGGAAGATTAGAAGGTAATGATGGAGGAGGAGGATAGCAGTCAGAAGAAACTTGGGTGCTGACAGAGTTGTGAGGGCGGTTGACACTTCCCGGCTGCCCACACCGTGGAAGGCTATTTCTTCTTAAGGTACCTGAAAGAGATTTGTGTGACCGCAGAGCCCATCGGACATCTGCTTGAGGCCTGTCACACCCAGCCTTTTGAGTATGATTATTTTGAATTTTTGTATTTTTGGGGCCGGATGAGCGAAAGGAAACGACAAGTGAACCAACACCGCCGGCCCGGCAGACCGTGGGGCGTGGTGGAGTGTGTTATTTTTGGGGCCGACCTTTTCTAACCCCCCCTTCCACTGAGAAGGCAGCATCAGCTTGGCACTGCTGGTCATCCAAGGGAAACACCTTACTGCTGTCACACCCCATCCAGCTAGCAGCAGTACGACTTCGCCCTCAGACCCCCATCATAGTGTAGCAATTTACACTATGACGGTAACTGCTTTTCGTCTAACCACTACCCAACAGACCTTTCTGGTATGGTAGGACCTCGAGGGAACAAGCGTTCCACCAGCATAGCTCGTTGGGTCATTGTGATATGCAAGCCCGACCACCACGTCAAGGTAGCAGCTATCGGTCGGGATATCTCAGACAAACTCATCAACAGTCAGTCAGTCATTCGCTTCGTCTTTCTTGCTGATCTCTATTGGAATTCCGATGAGAAGACCTGGTTTGATAGGAGTTAGTGTGATTGTGAACAAACGGTTACATGTCACTTATTCATAAAGTGAAACACTAAAAGTTACCTAGTAATTGGGTTTCCTACTTAAGTCAGCCAAAATATAGAGTTGATAACCTGTATATCCTCAATAGGAACAACATCATTCACTGTAGTTCAGGTACATCCAACTGACGAGTCCTAAATATGACGAAACATACATTCTAGTTTTCTCCGCTAGTCACAAAGATCAATATAAGTTCAACTTCTTATTGGAAATCTAAGAGAGATGTTTCATCGATATGGAATTTTTGTTACTATTCATCTGTTGTTGGAAATCGAATCATTAACCCTAACTAGTGGTAACATAGCTTTTAAATCGGTAGTTAGCTTTTTCACCCTCTATAATTCATGATATTATTGTGAATACTCTGCGAATGCTGCATGTGTTACTGTTATCACAGAGAATTCAGCTAGTTTCAGAAGCCTTAGACTTTTTCATTGTGACCTCAGATTATAGTTCTTTCTTTGAAGTGAACTCAATGCTTTAGGATTTTCTCTGTGAAGATTAGATTTTTATTGTGATCAAAACATCAAGTTTGTCTAATGCAATCTTAGGGTTTCAATCTTGAGAATCGCTTGGTTACTCGAAAACAGAAAAGAAGCGAGAAAAACAATAAAGGTTTATTGTCAAGTCATCATCATCATCATTATCAACATAGGATCAGGCATTACTGCGTAACGGTCCTAGTTGCCACACCTCATATCAGCACATCAAGTAGAAAGGTAGTGAGGTGAAGGATGAAGATAAGTGAATGCAGTCAAAAGAAATATAAAGTACGAGAAGAAAGGAAAGAGGAGTGACAAAATAGTGAGATTCGGTATAGTGTTGTTAAGATGAGGATAATGTGTGTATACATCTGCGCCACTGACTTCGGTTCTCAGCCATATCACCTAGGGTCTCCAACCACTGGTTCCTCTTGTCCCGTGGACCCCAACCATCTAGTCTGCATCGCCCCATATGGCTCAAACCAACAGTCAGAGACTTCATACATTGGTGCCATGTTTTAGTCTGGCCACCTCAGTCAGGCCTTTTTCCAGCCTGCGCCTACTTCGGCCAACATTGTGTGAAGAGGCGATCGGTGACTTGACATACGTACTACGTGTCCCAACCATCTCAATCGATGAAGGTTCACAACCTCGTCAACTGACTTACCTCTTCTCCCCAAAACTCTACACCTAACTTCTGCATTACTCACACGGTGACACCATGGAATATTGTCAAGTTGAACATATAAAAAAAGTAATAGTTTATATATACATTTCTTGATGGCCTTGATAAATTCTAAATTTTCCTAACCCTCAACTATGATTATTTGTAAAAGCTTTTCAAGGATTTCCTGGTTTCTTTAAGGAATCTGGAGAATATTATCATACTCCATAACAATTCTGTCAGTACAGTTTTATTTGTTAAGCATTCCCCCTTCCCCCTCTATTTTAGTTGCTTTAGTGTGCCTATTTCTATATACTCTTTTATTGAAACATCATGTTTTAGATGTTTGCCTTCAGGGGATACTGGAATATATTTGTCTTTTTCTGAGCCTAAGAAATGCACATATTCTATGCTGGTAAGTTAATTCAACAATTATTCCATTCTTCTTTCAGTCATTGGGTTATTTTTATGCCTAAATATATATCACTCGCTTGAAATAGAGACAAATATTGAATGATAACTGATGTCAACTCATAGGTTGAATGGTCACCGGAGGGTAAGTAATTTCATGTGCTGACTGAATTCTGTCGATCGCATCTGTAATGTGACCATTAAGATAGGAGATTCATCAATCCGATGCGATTCGGTGAACGTTAGTTGGTTGAATGTAATCGATAAGAAGCAATGATTTACCTAAGTTTCATGCTTGTTGGCACTTGTCAGCAAGGCGTATCTGTAACCTTGACGGAACTGTGATGTCCAGCTTGAGATTTGAACCGGAGTGATTGATGTCCTGTAGGACTGGATTAGATACACTGATTGGTTATTGTTAGTTCGCTAATTCTCAACGAAAATACGCTTTAGCGTTATTGCAGTTAAATGTTCTAAGAAACAAGATTTTTGGGGTTAAAAGTTTGAAGTTACTTAGTCAGAAATAAGGTTTCTTCCTTGTTGGCATTGACACTCTTCGTCATGACGTTTCTACAGTGTAGAGGTGTAGCTTATTGACTAAGTGAATAGTCTTTCAGATAATTGGTTCGTGTTTCGAACCTCATCCCACCTATTTTGGCCTTAGCAACCGGTTACCAACATCAATTGTTACAACAAGTGTGGCTCGCAGTCCAGTACATAAGCGCGTACGCAGTTGATTTACGCTATTGATTAATTATAGCTACTTGTTGACATACTTGTAGTTTCCCGTTGTTATAGTGGATCCAAATGTTCGACCTCTATTGGCTTACGTGCTCTTATACAGATGCCTGGATATTGCCTGAATATTTATCATGATAATTTGATTGGTTGTGGCTAGCAGAGGAATCCAGGACACGCGTTTCACCCTATTTTGGGACTCGTCAACTGGATGTCCAAGGTTCGAATCTCAGTGGAAATAACATCACTCACTGGGGTCGAGGTACATCTATCTGCCAAGTCCCAAAATAGGACGAAATGAGCATCCTGGATTCCTCTGCTAACCCTGAACCAAATCATTTACTATTGCTGAGGAGTCCCATACTAGGACGAAACAGCTGTCTAGTGCTCCCAGATTTTCAATGGTTCTCCATGATGAATACTACTTCTGAAATAATAAAAAATCCCCATTCATCTCAAAAATACATTACTATTAATTCATTAAAGGTTCCCAATATAATTGGAAAGCCATTTGAGTGGACAAAGAATATTCTTTTCGATAACGTCTTCACGTCCTACAGTTATGTGTACATATTAAGGCCATTACACTTTAATAATGTTAAAATTTTACTTATCTGCTTGTTAATAACATTAAACAGTTGAGGAATGCTCTTCAGAAAAGTTTTGTGTAAACGTTAATGGTAGAATCAATTATTACTGGGGCTCATCTCAAAATGACTGATTTTCTAAATGATTATATGGTTTATATTACACTATAGGATGATAGTTTACTACTAAAACAATAGAAAGGTGTTTATGAAAGTTGGATGAAATAAGAAAAAGAGAATATGTCAAAAATTATTTCAGATTGTAGGCATAAATGGGATATCTACAGTATGGAATTACAAAGTTAGATTATCAGGGATAGGATGTCAAGGTATTTGTACGTCGTAAATCGGACCACGGTAGTTATGGTGATAATACTTACTTTTTTTGAACGTATAACTCAGGATGTTTGATCCTGATTGCTACTGCTTCAACACTTTGAAGGATTCGGAGCTGGGTACCCTTTGACAGGTTGATGGGAAACCTGGTACACGATCGGAAATGAATGATTCATATCCCCCTTATGGTTCGTTTTGGACTAAATGGGCTAATTCTGAGCTGATAATAATCTTTACTACACCTCTGCTTGACTACTCTGGAAATTGTTTGCGAGCACAGAAAATTAAATTCATAGAGCAGCGGCTGATATAACTGACTCTACAGGAGCAGCCGAAGTGGTAGTTAATTCATCTTTCAGCCTCGGTGTAGAATCTGAAGAAGCATTTGTTGAAAAGAATATTCTTTGTTCAATTAAATGGTTTTTTATTCAACTAATTATTTCAATCTGAAGAAAATTCGCGTCCATTTGGAGGTCTAAGCTCATACTACTGTATACTAATTTCTATAAAAACCGTTCCAAAGACTACTGCGAATTAGAAAGTATTTAGTTGATAGTTTGTTACATCCTAAGATCCTCCACCACTTTTATGCATACTCCATGTCTTCTGGAATCGTACTCATCTTCATAGTAAGTGAGTTGAGAAATATCGACTACATGGTTTCTACCATGTGATGCGAACAGTGATATTCACACTGAAAATTTCTGAAGGCATACTACTAACTGTTATTTAAAAACTAGTACTGAACACGTTTGTATTTCTCTTGAGTTTTCTGTGATATTATTTCCTATCGAAATGTGGTTCAAGTTATCAGGACTACAAAAGCCAACTGTGTTTAAATCAGTTTTCGATGAGATTGTTCTCGTTTTCAATCCATCCTCGAAGTGGATAATCAGAAAGAGGAACTTCTTGTACTAATTTTAGACAACGGATAACTTCATCATCAGTCGATCAATTTGTGCAAGATTTCGATGAGAAATATGTTGTGAAAACAGTCAATTAAAAGTAGGCTTAGGGTTTATGAGCGAGAATTACATGTAGACACGACAAAATTTAGCAAAGAGACTTTTTCCAATGACACTGGAAACTCGCTGGTGATGTCCGCTTCTCAGGATATAGAGCTCACATATATAGTTTTCGTGTCTAAGAGTAAGACTTGATGTTATAGTATTCAAGATATGGTGCATTCCAGATGTCTCTTAATTCACGGCGAAAGGAAATCTCCACAAATTCGCTAAATAGTATAGAAGAGATAAACCTCTATTCCTTTCACTTAAACTATGAACTTTTTCAGTTATAACAGTCGAAATGATGGATAGTGGATAGCCGTGGCATCCAAGATGTGCATTTCGTCCTATTTGTAACTCGTTAGCTGGATTTACATGCTTCCCGATGAGTGATGTTGTTCCCATCGGGTTCGGACTCCAGAGTGATTGCTTCAAACGCCAGACCGTTATCCACTACACCACCGAGCCACAATAGCCACTTCTTGTGCAACGGGTATAGGTTTTAGTATAATTGTTTTTATATCATACCGTCGTTGATTGGACCGAATTGATCGGTCTCCATTGGCATATGGGATCCTTTGCGAATGCCTGGATATTACCGGTGCTCTAATGGTAGTAATGATGGATAGTGGCTAACAGTGGAATCCAGGATGCACATTTCATCCTATTTGGGACTCGTCAGCTGGAAGCACCTGCTTCCCGATTAGTGATGTTGTTCCCATCGGGTTCCCATAAGCCAATAGAGACCGATCAATTCGATCCAATCAACGACGGTATGATAGTAAAAACAATTATACTATAACAGTCGAAAGTTTATTATGATAATTTACTTGGTTGTGGCTAGCAGAGGAATCCAAGATGCACGTTTCATCCTATTTTGGAAGTCGTCAGCCGGATGTATCTGTATCTGTATAAATATTCAGCTAGTATCGAGGCATCCTTATAGAAGCCTATATGCCAACAGAGTTTGGCCAATTCAACCCAGTAAAACAAGAAAGAACAACAAGAAGCATATCAACAAATAGTAATTCATGAGTTTATTTAGCATGACTGTATTTATTATTATTATTATTAGTCCCTTGGGTTCCTAATGGAACATAGGGCTTCAGTAGCACGTCTCCAGTCCACTCTGTTCTCTGAGATCTTTTCAACCTGGTTCCACGACAGCCCACAACCTCTCATTTCCTCCTCGCACGACCTCCTCCATGTCACCCTCACCTCGAACGCCAAACTCATCGCTCCCCATGGGGATTCCACTCGAGTGCCTGGCCTGACGCGTGATGTCCCCAGTCGGTCTTCTCAGTGCATGGCCAATCCATCTCCATTTCCTCCTGCATATTTGTTGAGTGATAGGTTCTTGGTTGGTTCTTTCCCAGAGCTCCTTGTTGCTTATTCTTTCTGGCAATCCATCTGATCTTCAGTATCATGTGAGCGTAAGCAGTTGTTGATGAATGTCTGTAGTTTGTTTGAAATCCCTTTCGTAACGCGCCAACCATACAGAAGCACTGACTTGACTTTGGTGTTGAAAATCCGTATCTTGTTCCACATGCTGAGTGGAGTAGATCTTCACACTGGTTTCAGGCTAATGAACGCCTATCTTGCTTTTCCGATTCTGACTGGCTTTGACATCCTCGTCTGTGCCTGTGCCGCCTGTAGTTGAAACAGTGCTTCCTAGATAAGTGAAGGAGGTTACTTCCTTTAAGTTTCTCCCGTTGATGGTGATTGGAGTTTGTTGCTGTTGGTGGTGCGGTATCTTCATCACCTCTGTCTTCTCTATATTCACTTCAAGTCCCGTCTTCGCCGCCTCTTCTGTCAACTTGTTAGTTTTTGCCTGTGGCTCTTCAAGTTTATGTGACATCAAGCACAAGTCATCGTTGGCGAAATCCAAGTCTTCTAGGTTCTTTTCCCTGGTCCAGCTGGAGTATCCCCCTCTTCTCGCTCCCCACTGTTAGCATGACTGTAGTGTACATTAATTTAAGAGCACTTCAAGTGTATAGCATAATTTTATACATAATCTTATCCTATTTTTCTGCATCAAAAATACTTGAAGTTGAATATATATATATTTCTATGTTTTGTAGGTTGAAAATTCCATTTTTTGTGACATAATACCATTAGCTGATGACATGGGTATCTTACCTTTAGAGAAAATTTAAAACTAACACATTGGCCAACTACTACTGCTAGTGGGAGGGATGTTTCAAGGCGCTCATTATCCACGTTCACATTTCTGCCTTTATTCGTCACCTATGTGTTTTAATTGGCCTTATTATTATTATTATTATTACTATTGTAACCTTTTATGTATTTCCTAATCAGTAGTAAACTAACCCAAGAGCTTTCTTATTTGTTCAAAAGTGAGAATTGTGTATGTTCAAGTAGAATTTGACGATCACATTTTGTCTTATTCTTCTCTTTTTTTGTAACGAAATATGATATTTTTGTTCTTTCACAAACATAACTTTCGTTTCTTTTGAGCTTATATTAACAAATGAATGAAGTAATATTCATATGATTCCCTTTGTTTTTCTTATATATAACCTTTTTTATACTTGTGGACACTTCAGATTCACCTTTTGGTAATCGTTCATTTGCTTAGAAAACTGGAAAAGGTGATAAGATAAGAGAAAGTGTTTATAGTGGTGTCAGAATATGTAACGGTGTATACTTGCGGTGACCTTTGCTATTTTCTGGCCTTTTTCTTGAAGATGATAGTCTATTAATCTTCCCTGTCGAAGTAACTTATCTGGTTATTAGTTCTTTCTCGTATCTCTTGTTTGATTTTGCTAACTTTTGAGGATCACAAGTTCTGAAGTTATTGTGCCTTGGGTTCCTAGTGGAACATAGGGATTCAGTAGCACATCTCCATTGCATTCTGTTCTCTGAAATCTTTTCAATCAGGCTCCATGACTGCCCACAAGCTCTCATTTCTTCCTCATATCATCTCCTCCATGTCATCCACGGACGCTCAACTTATCGTTTCCCTGTCTCGCTTCCAATCTACGGCCTGGCGCGTGATGTCCCCAGTCGGCCTTCTTGGTGTATGATCAATCCATCTCCACTTCTGCATATTTGTTGGGCGATAGGTTCTTCATTGGTTCGTTGCCAGCCAGCTAGAGTTCCCTGATGCGTATTCTTTCTGGTCATCTCATCTTCAGTATCGAGTGAGCGTAGGCAGCTGTTGATGAATGTATGTAGTTTGTTGAAAATGCCTTTCTGAAGCAATTAAGACAATCACAATGAATACTATAGCAGTCTTTGACCTTTTGCAATTTTGCTTGGTGTTTATTTCAGTATTTTTTTGCAGATTCCATTTGTATTCGATATATTTTCTCATATGATGAAGGTTTTATTGATGATTGATTCAAAAGTTAGCATAAAATTATCTAGTTATGAACTCATTAGAAATCCTATTGAAATGCTGCCTTTCTGATAATTTATTTTATGATTTAAGATAATTTTAAGGGAGTTGTAGAGATTTCGAAATGTTTCAAGTTGTTATTCATCGTAGACTGACATCATCTGGAGGAACAAAGGAAACCTGGGAGCACTGGAACAAAGCTGTTTCGTCCTAGTATGGAACTCCTCAGTGGTGTGCACCCGCGACCCCGTCAGGGACTCCCATACTAGGACGAAACAGCTGTCCAGTGCTCCCAGGTTTCCTTTGTTCCTTCAACTGATGTCAATTTACGATGAATAACAACTTTAAAGATTTAAGATAAGCTTTACATCCGAAGTACACCTTAGAATAAACGTTTGTTTTTAGAAAAGTGAACAGTACTCCAATATCTCTTAAATATAACATTTACTGGCAAAAGATGATATATGTAACTTTATCAACTTCCAGTTTAGTAACTGGTGCTTTTCTTTTGGATTTTTCCTCTATTCTGACTTAACATAGAGAAACATAGCTACCTATTCTAAGCGTGTAAACATCAAGAAATTCTCTTCCACCCCCTTTGTTTTAAAGGTATTGTAGCATAGTATTGTATTGTTGTATTGATCATATAAGACTAAGAGAAAATCATATATCACATATCTTTTATGTTATTCATCGAAAAACTAACATTCAAAATACCTTCATCGAGAATAGGATATCAAGTTGATAATTAACTATGAATTCTAATCAACAAAAGTGGTAAAATATTGTAATGCCTTTCATATTGAGATGATCCTTATAAGTAGTATCTGGTTATCTCTAATAATTTTCACATGTTCTTTGAAAATATTGATGAGATTAGGATGAACTTATAGTCTGTATTTATCTACTTGTTCACATATGAAATCCTAATTTATCTTCATGAATTCGTAATGATGAACGGTTTACTGATTCACTTTTTGTCAGATAAAGAAATGAGTGAGTATTTCAACGAAACTACAAGCAAATGCTAAGGTGATTATTATTACTACGTTAATGCTAAATATAAAAGTTTACAGTAAATAAGACATTTTTAAATACTTCCTTCTTAAAATAGAACAAGACATATATAAGCGAACAATATTATTTTCAGTTAGATCCTCTTCAGGCTTTACTCTAATACAAATAGCTTAGTATATATATAACTAAACCAATCATGTAGATTTGTCGGTTCATATGTCAGGAGGGACAAACCTGGATTTATTACCATAAAAAAACGAACCGGTGTTTACGAAATTCCGGTTTAATGGGGATGTAGCTGGAGAAATTCTATATCTGAGACTCTCTAGAGCCATTAAGAGGACCTTCAACGCAGCACAACTCTGTCTATCATTTTCCAGTCGACCAATTGTTACTGCTCAGACAAAAGGTCTCTAATTTTGCCATCTCGATGTTTATTTGCTCCTGTGGAGAAAGCTATATTGAGTGTACTACTAGATACCTTAACAGACGTGTTGCCGAGCATCTACCTTCATGGTTGGGAAAGAGACAGGTAAAATCCATTAGAAGTTCGGTTTTATCTTACCTCGTTGATAGTGATCACTCGCTAGATAAGAACAATTCTTTCACAATTATTCACCGCATACCATCTCATCTTTTGAAAGGTATTCAAACCCATCTGTTATAACACGTAGCAGGAGCTGTGGGAATTCGAGCTAATAATCCTAGTCTTTGTATCCAGAAGAAGTTTGTACATCCTTTATTCCTCCCTTGGCCAGGGAACACTTAGTTAATAACTTTATTATTGAGTTTTTTTCCTACCCCTTTCATATACTTACTGAATGTGTGCAGACTTTGTTTATCCACTTACCTCGTCCTCCAGTATTACGTAACTTTTATTTCCTCAAGCTTTCGACCCACTTTGATTACCGAAGTGTCTACATTTTCATGCTGCTTTCTTGGTTCTTATCATCTATATTAGTCACGTTAACAATTTTATCATTTATGCTGGACGATAATTGAAGGTGAGATGAAAATTTGGACCGACCACCGGGTTACCGGCCCGGTCTTCCACCAACTGAGCTACGACGTCCGACTGCTAACCAGATTTTGATTTTACTTCAATCACCAAGCGTTTTGCCTGACTATCATGTAAATTCGTAACGCGTTACTATCGCTTGGTCGTATTCACACTGGCTGCCTAGTCAGGACTTCTCATCCGAATCCAAATCTAACTGAATCAGAAAGGAGGAGCATCATATTGATTATCATTTGACTATCTGAGATAGCTGTGGTTTGGCAGACTAGTATTTATACTGCGTGATGATCGAAGTTCAGAAGGATGTTTATTCCACATTGTACTTAGAAAACACTAACCGGTTAGCTGTCATTCTATCCACCCTTACACAATTTATGGGAGGCGAATTCTGTATCTAGATTCTATCACAGATTATTATTTGTATTATTATCACCATCGGTATTCTTAAAATATTCATTCTATTAACCGACAAATCTACATAGATGGTTTAGTTATATATATACTAAGCTATTTGTATTAGAGTAAAGCCTGAAGAGGATCTAACTGAAAACAATATTGTTCGCCTATATATGTCTTGTTCTTATTTACATGATGGGAATTTTTAAAATTCCTTCCTAAAAGTCTTGTTACTTGGGGAGGGGGGGAGGGTTTGAAAAAGTATTCCTTCACATCAAAGATACTGTCAACTAGTTTGTTGAGACAAATCAGCTTAGGTGGGTTTGTATAGAAAACTTCTGTTTCTTGATGAGTGGGATCCCCTAGTCATCAGGGCCAGGGAAACATAGTTGATGTGTAAGTCTACATAAGCATTCGGAAGAAAATATCTGAAACTGTCAATTTAATATCTTTCAGTGGGTATTTGAAAGTTAGGAATACCATCCACTTGTTTTTCACAGTACCTACTGTCTCCTTAGCTTAATATCTTTATGTTGTCAGTAATTCATTGATTGTGGTCACGTGTTGCTGTCTTCTATACCTCAGAACTAACTTAACGTCAGAAAATTTTACGGATTCATGGAAATATTACATTATAAAAACTCGTTATTATCTTTTACACCAGTACCTACAGAGAACAGTAGACTATATTCACAATGAAAGTAGCTAAAAGTTATCTTCAAGTATCATACGTTATAGCATTCCTTGTTAAAGTGCACGTATATTTTGTATGCATATTTGAACTGGTTGTATAGTTTTGTAAATTATTTTCAGTCATTAAGTCGTCTTTAATACTGTTTATTTATGACCAGAGTATTAGTTGTACTTCCACTCCTTAGATGGTAAATAATTATAGTTATTTATGATTAATAATGCTCAGAAATCAAGCTGAGTTAAATGAAGCTTTGGATATCACTAAAATGGATTTGTGACTGTAGTTTTCAGCGCAAAAAATATATGTATACAGGAAATAGAAATTACGCATTTTCAAAGAAGAACATGCTTTTTTTTTTTACCGAGAAATATGTTTTGTAGAACATGATTCAAATCATATTGATGATCACAGCTAATAAAAGCATCGTACATGCACCTTTGTCGGATTTTCAACACCAACGTCAAGTCAGTGCTTCTGTATGGTTCAGAGACTTGGCGCGTTACGAAAAGGATTTCCAGAAAACTACAGACATTCATCAACAACTGCTTACGCTGACTCGTTACTGAAGATCAGATGGCCAGAAAGAATAAGCAACAAGGAGCTCTGGGAACGAACCTATCACTCAACAAATATGCAGGAGGAAATGGAGATGGATTGGGCATACACTGAG